CCCTCAGTCCACCAGCTCGGCCAGGCTCCCTCGACCCTCCGGACTCCCTTCGCTCCCTCGTCATCCTCCCTTCACCTCTGGACTTCCTTCCCTGTGCTCCGCACCGTCATGTCACCCCCCCGGTTCTGTCGGACTCCTCACTCCCTCCAGTCACCCGTCAGCCCTCACTCCCTCTGGCCTCACCGTGTCCCTCTGTACCCCTGTCGTCACTTCAGTCACCGGAGCCTGCGGGGTCCCCATGTTCCCACGGTTCCTCATCAGCACCTCATGTCATCAGTCCCTCAGCTTCACCCTGGTCTCCTCTCCCATCTGCTCCGCCCCTGTCAGTCGGCCCCCTGGTGTTGTCAGCCCCGCTTCCATCGGCTCCACCAGGGGTCCTCCCTCCATCGGCTCCGCCCTGGTCTCGCCCTCATCCTGCTCCGCCCTGGTCTCACCCTCAGCCTGCGCCACCCTGGTCTCGCCCTCAGCCTGCTCCGCCCTGGCCACGCCCTCAGCCTGCTCCGCCCTGGCCACGCCCTCAGTCTGCTCCGCCCTGGCCACGCCCTCATCCTGCTCCGCCCTGGGGGGCTTCCTGCTCCTGACCACGTCCTCCACAGCCTCCAGGGCGCCCACCCCCCCTCCCCGCTGATGTTACGGCGTGAGGTCACGCCTACCGGGAGGGGGGAGTGATGTCACAGTCTTCGTCTTCACCTGTTTGTCCCGTCATCTGCACCACGCTTCCCCGGCTCCTTTTGTCTCCTCTCCTGATCTCACTCCCTCATCAGCCACCTGTTCCTCGTCTGTTCATCATCATTTTCACCTGTTTGCACTCCAATTAGCCTTATTCCTCTGTGTATTTAGTTCAGTCCAGTTTGATTCAGTTTTGTCGGTCAATGTTGAATGTTACGCTGTGAAACCCTGTCCTCCTGCCTGTATTCTTGAATTAAATGTCTCTTTATCGAGATTCTGAACTCAGCCTGTTCTTCTGCCTGCACCCGCACCGTGACACATTCACCTTGGATTTACTATGTATAACACTACTAACTGTTACCATGGAAGTTTGGCAGGAATAGTAGGTTAAAATGCTTTCAAGTAAAGTCATGTTGGTTTTATTTTGACATTATGAATACAATTGCTGCCCTCAAATGTTAATCTGAATAAAAATTTACTTAAATTTACTTAAATTTAGTTTAAATTAACTAAAATAAACCTTTGTTTATAACTTCTACAATATTACATTTCATTTTGTCCAAGGGGCTGTTTTGTTTTATATGCTCCTTGAAAAGTCAAGTATAGCTCCATCATTGCTCAAAGTTTAAAAAAATCATACTTTATGGTGTTAGTTCTAATAAAAATAAAATTAAAAAAATCAAGGAAATTTCTCTGCCATTTCTTTCTTTTTGCTGCATCAGAAATGTACCGAACCGTATCGAACCAAACCGTGACACAAGTGTATTGTATCGAAACGAACCGTGAATTTTGTAACCGTTACACTCCTAATATATATATATATACAGTATATTACTTCATTTAAATGAAGAGAATTTCAGCTGCATAAAGAGAAATCTTTCGTGTCTCTGTGACAAGTGTTGACTGAGTTACAGTTCATTTTCGGTGCGTTTCAGAATGTACTTCACTGACAGAGAGAAGGCAAAATTCACATCATGTTTATTTTTCTTTATTTGACAAAAAGCAGAACACTTTGTTTTTATTGTGAGTATAAGGAAAAAAGTGAGCTTGTCACACCGGCGTGATAGCCGACCCCGGAGGGTTAATATGTTTGTCAAACTTAAGAGAGGTATAAAAATGTGAATTTTAGGAATTCAAATCTCCAGTAGTGATGTTACGTTCGTGAACAAATCGTTCTTTTTGAACGAATCTTTTAGGTGAACGAATCATTCTCGTTCACGTTATCCATTGACTCATATTTCTCGTTCACTGAAATTCCCCCTTCTACCACTGCGCGCCGCTATTGCGCGCATGCGCAAGCTCAATGAACCGTGTAGCTCTGTGGCCCGTTTCATCTGTCAAAGACAAAGAGTGACTAAACCTCGAGCCAATAGCCTTCGAGTATGATACGAGGACGGAGCATGTGATTTGTTGAATCTAGTGAACGAATACGCCCTTTATTGAGTTGCTTTGAGTTTGAACAAGTCCAATGAACTGTTACATACATCTCATACATCTCGTTCGTGAATGAAAGAACCAGTTGTTTGAACGTCAAGATAATAATGACGACGAAGTTAACATTGCAAGCTGATGGTTTAATTTAATAAAAGACAGCTTAAAATTTTCGTTTTTAATAAAATCTACAAACTACATCAGGTAATTTGCTAACTTCAAAATGAGTGGCACCACTAGCACTGGTGTTGTTTTGTGTGCATTTTGTATTATTTATTTTTATTATTGTTGTTTTATGTTTCAACAGTTTTATACTTTAAAAAATAAATATATATCTCATGTCATGCACTTTTGTTTGTTTAAAAACTGTAAAACATTAAAAAAAATAGAGTATTGATTATTTGCGTCACGTCATTCCAGCTCATTTGCGTCACGTGACTCACGACAGCTAATAGCATTTCAGCTTGGGCTTAGAAGGGGCATGTAATTGGTTGGATCTACTCTGCTGAATGAGTCTGAACGAGAGAGAGATCTCCCGTTCGTGAACGAATTAAAGGGCACCTATTATGCCCCTTTTTACAAGATGTAATATTGGTCTCTGGTGTCCCCAGAATATATTTGTGAAGTTTCAGCTCAAAATACCCCACAGTTAATTTATTATAACCATTTGAAAATGTCATTTTGGGGCCTGCTTAAAAATGAGCGGTTTCAGGGGGTATTCCACCTTAAATGCAAATGAGCTGCATATCCCCGCCCTGCCATTGGATGAGGGCGTAACTTGATACCTATGGCAGGCAGTCGGTACTGAGAGAGTGAAGAGACGCGCCGTATTGAATGTCATTCAGAGTACGTTTGAATCGGAATATTTAAATAGTATGAAGAGACTCCGGCAGAATAAACAAATGAGAATGGACCAGTACGTCTCGGTATGGTTATTTGATACTTTTATGTACTTTAGAGTTGTAATCGCGTCCCATTTGAAATGATGGATGTCCAACACACACACACAGACACTAGCGCAATTTTTTGAAACTACATATACATTCTGTGATAAAGTTTGCTACGTACGAGCGAAATTACATTTATGCGAGGGACCTGTGGCGTCATGTTTAGCTACTTGTCATAGGTGCTTCTGTGGCAAATGTGAGAAGATGGCTAACTTACAGAACACCAACATATATGCAGTTTTTAATACAATATCTTTAAAAATATATTTATAAACGTGTGGTTACACACTATACAAACAAGGTTTTAAATTATATACACAGACATCCTATGACGGCAATAACTTTAGACGCATTTGTTATTGAATTGGCTGACATTGACTGAAAAGACTATTTGCTCAAAAATCATAAAATACACGTACTGTTACTGGAGGTGACGGTGGATCGCAAACAGTAGACGACAATCCACACTTGAGGATTAACTTTTAAGCCACAACAACAGGATTAACCCACGAGTCCACGACAGAACATAAATTTACGTTTCCAAGAGACATTACCGGCTGTCGTCGTTGAAACAATGAAGGATGGTGTGTACAGATCACCGAGGGCGGGGTCTAGGCCACAGCCACACTGTCAATCAACCCCCTGTCTCCCGTTCTACGTCACAAAGACCTGGATCTCAGAACAGCTCGTTCTGAGGCAGTGCATATGATTTATTGAGATTGTAAAAAAACTACTGGATGGATTTTTATCATTCTAGGGTGGTTTTGCTCACACACTGCCAACACACATTTATGTTCAAACACCATGTAAAAGTGAATTTTCCATAATAGGTGCCCTTTAAACGAACTGGTTGCTATACCCAGTTCGTCGGCCATTCTGTCAATCTAGTTCATCAATCAGCAGAAAGTGAATGCAAAGCGCAGGTATCCGTACTGTGAACGCGCAATTCATAACTTACATACAGAAAATAACTCCTCGTTTAACTCGTTCTGACCAAACAAATAAAATGTTAAGTAGCCTGCCTAGTATGCAAACAAATTAAAAAACACTTGTGATTTGGTCATCCGAAAAGAGTGTAATTTAAAAGATAAAAAGAGTGTTGAGACTTTGATCGCTTATTTAGACTTATTTTATCAATTTAATGAGTAGCCTAGGGCACAATTTTTAATAAAGTCAAATCAGTTTTTATTTTGTAACAAGTAAATACGTTGTTAACACATTTTGCCGCACCTGCTGCTGATGTATATGGAAAAAAAAAACTGAACGAATCAGTGAACGAGTCTGAACGAATCATTTTGGTGAGCGAACTAAAAATGAACGAGTCTCTGAAAAGAATCAAAATTTCCACCACTAATCTCCAGAGTTAAAAAACATTTCTTTACCCATAGAGGGCCTGATATAATGTATTATTTTAAAGATAAATCAGCTTGTGTGTAGATAAACAGGCATTCACATTTACTTTATATACACGTGTCAAAAATAGACCAATCGGGCAAAACATTATGACCACCTTCCTAATATTGCATTGGCCCCCTTTTGCTGCCAAAAGCAGGCCAACTGTGTGTGTTTGTGTTAAATATTAGTTTTATGTGTTGGAATAATCAATATATCCGCTGCAGAGCTAATAGTTATGGCCCATTCAAATGAACTCTAGACGACTCATTTGCTTGGCCATATAAGTGATTCTTTCGAGATTCCCTATAAATAAATTAATAATTCCCTTTGAGCTGTGAGATGTAAAAGAAAATGTGATTTATCAGACCAGGCCACCTTCTTCCATTGCTCCGTGGTGCAGTGCTGATGTTCACTTGCCAATTGTTGTCTTTTTCGGACACTTGCTGCCTAATATATCCCACCCAATAAAAGGTGCTGTGATGAAGAGATATTCATTGTCATTCACTTCCCCTGTCAGTGGTCATATTGCAATGCCTGATCGGTATATAAGTGAGAGGGTCAGGTGTTTGTGCAAAGAGATACTGAGGAGTTCGAACGATAAACTCCAAATCCAGCATAAAGAGACTCCATGAATATAGAGGTGAATGTGTGCAAGTGTGTGAGCCTGTGTGTTCCAGAGACCATGTAGAAGGACAGAGTGCCGGCCGGCCAGTCCACATGCACTCCAATTCTCTTAGAGGGGCATGAAGGGACACGAATGACAGTTTCCTTATTATCATGACAGGCAGTGAAAGAGTCAGAACAGATCAGACTCCAAGAGTTTCTATTGTTTCTATTATATCCAAACTCAGAGAATTCATTCCATCCTTTCCTGCTGATTCCTTTATATGTCACTGCTATAACAGCATATCCGTTCCATTCAGCCTCCCAGTAACAGCGTCCATTCAGACTCTCTCTACACAGAACCTGAGGCCACCCATCAAATCTTTCTGGCAGATCAGGGTATAACTGTTTTTTTTCCACATATGTCACCTTTCTGTTTTCATCAGACAGAATTAGATGAGTGTTTGCCGTGTTTGAATCCAGTGTGAGATTACAGGCATCTGAACACAAGAAGAGAGAACATTTACAGTGCAATGCAACAACAAAAATCATTAAAGGTGTATGTGTGTTTATGCGTAGACATACATTTATGTAGTCCTGCTGTAATCCTGAAATCTCCTTTATGATCCACACTATAAAACATACACAGTGTCACATTCAATCAGTAAACACATACATGTGCACACAAAGCACTGTGACTATTCCTACTTGACATACTTGAGTTTGTTCAGTGCATAGTTTTGATGGTTCTGTATATCTGACAGTAGCTTAAGTCCTGATTCTCCAGGGTGATTATAGCTCAGATCCAGCTCTCTCAGGTGTGAGGGGTTTGAACTCAGAGCTGAAGACACATAACGACAGCCTTCCTCTGTCACCATACAGCCAGACAGTCTACAAACACACACATACACACACAAAGCAACAGTTCATATGACATTATTTTGCCAATTACACATCACACTGCAACTCAGCTACAGACATTGTGTTTTTGCTCATTGAGTTCCTTGTAAAAAATTCACTGTATACATTGTCTGGCAATGTTCCATCTAAGATTCGCACTTGTGATGTGTTCTTGTGACTTGTGATCGCACTTGTGGTCTGTTTTATTGGCAGGAGGGCCGGTGTTGTCATGGCACTGGGTTGAATGCTTTCTCTATAAGCTCAAGTCACAGCGCAGCCCCACTTTTTTATAATTATTTTCTCGCAGCCCCACAAAAAAAGTCAGTTTATAGAGAAATAAGAGATACAAAACATGGTAAAAGTGCCTAAGATTCAGGATCAAATGTTTGTGATGATGGATCAAAGCAGGATTTATGTTCACAGAAGCGCGAGCCACAGGCGAATTCCAACGCAACGCGTCACAAGATAAGATGCAAGTGGCAAGATTAGTCGTTTTAAACGAACTACATAATCAGTTTGCAAAAACTATCAATCAAAGCTTAGCTTCGGGAAGGGGAGATTCACAGGTAAAAATAAAAAGATAAAGAGAGGACAGCAGGAAGAGCAATAGCCATTGCATACTGTGCCCAGAAGGAGAATAACCTTTTTACAAAGGTTACTTACACAGATATAGGCCTATATACACTCACCTAAAGGATTATTAGGACCATACCATACTAATACTGTGTTTGACTCCCTTTCGCCTTCAGAACTGCCTTAATTATATGTGGCATTGATTTAAGAAAGTGCTGAAAGCATTCTTTAGAAATGTTGGCCCATATTGATAGGATAGCATCTTGCAGTTGATGGAGATTTGTGGGATGCACATCCAGGGCACGAAGCTCCCGTTCCACCACATCCCAAAGATGCTCTATTGGGTTGAGATCTGGTGACTGTGGGGGCCATTTTAGTACAGTGAACTCATTGTCATATTCAAGAAACCAATTTGAAATGATTCGAGCTTTGTGATATGGTGCATTATCCTGCTGGAAGTAGCCAACAGAGGCATGGTGGCCATAAAGGGATGGACATGGTCAGAAACAATGCTCAGGTAGGCCGTAACATTTAAATGATGCCCAATTTGCACTAAGGAGCCTAAAGTGTGCCAAGAAAACATCCCCCACACCATTACACCACCATCACCAGCCTGCACAGTGGTAACAAGGCATGATGGATCCATGTTCTCATTCTGTTTACGCCAAATTCTGACTCTACCATCTGAATGTCTCAACAGAAATCGAGACTCATCAGACCAGGCAACATTTTTGGGCTATCTCTTGCAAATTGTAGCCCCTTTTTCCTATTTGTAGTGGAGATGACTGGTACCCGGTGGGGTCTTCTGCTGTTGTAGCCCATCCGCCTCAAGGTTGTGCGTGTTGGCTTCACAAATGTCCTGTTGCATTCTACTCCATCTCTGTCTGACACTGGTTTTAAACAGAGCAGGCAGAACAGTTTTTGACATTTTAGTGTCTGGCTGTGTGAGGTAATCGGAGCTGCTAACACACGCACTCTTGAAGCTCTGCCCACTGTGACGGGAGCAGCAGCTCATTTGCATTTAAAGGGCCAGCCACAAAACGGTGCGTTTTTGCGAACCCTCAAAAAGTGACAACTTTAACCTGTTAAGCTGCAACGCTACTTTTGCAAAATCCCCAGAAATGGCAAACCCAAACTGAAACAGATACAGTTCATGAACGCTTTGTACTAAAAGCACAAGTATGATCTCATTTGAAAGCTGACACCAGGCAGTTTATTGTAAATGTAGAATTAGTCATTATGAAAAAAGAAAATTATAAATTGCTTCAAAGTTTTTTAAAGTTATTAGAAATGTATTTTTATGAAACATCTTAAGAAAATGAAATTGAAGTTGGCATTGTATCAATCTAGAAATGCACTGCAGCTAAAGCCACATGTCTGACCATGTTATATTTAAAAATTGAAGATGATAAGTCTAAAACTCTGCATTTAGTTAAATGTTTTTTCAAGATCATGTCATATGACTTTATTTTGATTAGTCTTTAAATGCTAACTGGTGTTTATTGTCATTGTCTATCATCTATTCAGTCTATTGACTCTTTAGTTAAGTGGTGCAAAAGATCCCCATTCAGGGTCAGTCTCCCCTGCACACATTCACACATCTCCAGCCTGGTTTTGGCTCTAAATGTGCCTTTCTTTTGTCTGCATTATAATCACTAACGCCTGGCTATTCACACTGTTTCAATCCCTCATTTCATTTATCAAACATCTCACTTCACATTTGAAACTGTAGCTATACACTGCCCTTTAAGGACTTGAAACTTGCCCGGCCCAGAAAGGTTATTAAAGACATTTTTAAAATAGTCCAAGTGACTACAGCGGCTCGATCTTACGTTTATCAAGCAACGTGAAAACGTTTCATGCACAAAAAAGCAAACAAAAATAACGACTTTATTCAACTATTCATTTTCTTCTCTGTGGGCCTCGAGTGAGTTCACATAGTGTAACTGCGCAGCACTTCTATGCTGCACGTCACACACATCACACATATAACCACCGTCGGCCAATAGTGAGCCTACGTGTGACGTACAACACTGAATATCTTAATTTATCCTCCGAAATTGAATGCAAGTCTAAAAATAAAATAAAAAATCCAGAAATCACAATGTATGATTTTTTAACTATTGATTTGTATGATACAGCTGCAAATACATATTTGAACACCTGAGAAAATGAATGTTAATATTTGGTACAGTAGCCTTTGTTTGCAATTACAGAGGTTAAACGTTTCCTGTAGTTTTTCAGCAGGTTTGCACATACTGCAGGAGGGATTTTGGCCCACTCCTTCACACAGATCTTCTCTAGATCAGTCAGGTTTCTGGGCTGACGCTGAGAAACACAGAGTTTGAGCTCCCTCCAAAGATTCTCTATTGGGTTTAGGTCTGGAGACTGGCTAGTAGGCCACGCCAGAACCTTGATATGCTTCTTACAGAGACACTCCTTGGTTATCCTGGCTGTGTGCTTTGGGTCATTATCATGTTGGAAGACCCAGCCACGACCCATCTTCAATGCTCTAACTGAGGGAAGGAGGTTGTTCCACAAAATCACGCAACACATGGCATTTCATATTTAAACGGTCTTTGTGCATTTTACAGACACTATTCAACAACGCGATTAGAACAAAGCACTTAAGAATAAAGCACTCCTCGAAATGAAACTACTAGCACTTCTGAGGTAACTTTTCCAGGATTATTATGATAGTATTATTCGTCCCAGTTTAGCAAGACGAGGTAAAGTACAAGATTTTTATTACACAGGATGTTTTATCCAGCTGATGTGGGCGTTTTCATGGCTTGCCTCAACATTAGAATTTAAATGTGGGCATGGTCAGATTAACACGTCATGCGCTATAATTATTAGGTGAAAGGAAAAAGACTGATATCTCTCTCTTTTCATACAGATTATATCAACTGAGAATAGTTTTTTAAAAAATATAAATGACTTAATTTAAAAGAAGAGATTTTCAGCTTCATAAAGATAAATCTTTCTTGTCTCTGTGAAAAGTATTTACCGAATTACAGTTCATTTTTCGGACACATTTTAGAATGAACTTTACTGACAGAGAGAAGGCAAAACGTGCATAATGTTTATTTTTCTTTATTTGACAAAAAGCACAACACTTTGTTTTTATTGTGAGTATACACAAAAAACAAAGACACTTAACAGGATCAAATGATGTATAACACTTATATGTAAGATCAAAATCAGCAGAGTAATTTGAGTCTCTTTTGCACTTATAAGATAAAAAGTGAGCTCGTTGCGCTGGTGCGATAGCCGACCCCAGAGGGGTCGTTTTGATCAGTGGTGGAATGTAACGAAGTACAAATACTTTGTTACTTTACTTAAGTACATTTTTCACGTATCTTTACTTTACTTAAGTAGAATAAATAGTGCATACTTTTTACTTTTACTTTGTTACATTTTGCAGCAATTATTATACTTTCTACTCCACTACATTTCAACAACATCTGTTACATTTTCGGATCAGTTTTTCCCCTGCCAAAAACGTAATCTGACCGTCCGTTCGTTGCACGTTTGTCTCACCAGTGACGTTTCGTTGCCATAGATACATCAACTAAATGCGTCTCGCACGCAGTGTGTTTATCGTGCAATTTATACGCGAAAATTTGTTTTTACGTGCATAGGAAACGTGTGTAATATAGGTTTGGTTAGGATTATGGCAAGCCAAGAGGCAGTGTTGTAGTCGAGACCACCTCACTCGAGTCCGAGTCGAGACCGAGTCCATAGAGAGTCGAGTCCGAGTTGAGTCCGAGACCAGAGACGGTCGAGTCCGAGTCGAGACCGAGACCAGAGTTTAAAAAATATGATCAGTTTAGGGTAAAAAGGCCACATAGTAGGTGGTGTTAAAAGTAATTTTATTACAATTTGTCATGCGCAGTTGCGCACTAGAAAATCACCAATCACTGGGCATGTCAATCAATTTAAAGAAATATTTTATTAACGTACATTAATAATCATGAAAAATATTTTGAATTGAACTTGAGTGGACTCGGGAATAAGTCCGAGTCCTAAAAAAAAAAATGTTCGAGTACGAGTCAATTCCGAGTCCAAATGCACACGAGTCCATGACAAGACCAAGACCATTAAAATATGGTCTCGAGACCGAGTCCGAGTCTCGAGTACTACAACACTGCCAAGAGGTTCAGAATTACACCATAAATTAATCGCGTTTACTGCCAAACATAGTTATTAACATATAGTAAGGATAAGCATGGTTTATATTGCCTAATTGCAAGCTTGTTTCAGAAATGGTGACATTTTTTTCCATCATTATTGAACATCATTATAGGAGTATTAGGTTGAATGAGTTAGAATTAAATGTTTTATTAATCATTAGAAAATAGTCATCAAGAGAATCAATTGTTATGCAAGTACTTTTACTTTTAAGACTTAAAGTACATTTAAAATCAGGTACTTTTTACTTTTTACTTAAGTATGGTTGTCATTGTGTTACTTCTACTTTTACTAAAGTAAATATTTATCTGGTTATTTGTACTTTTTGTACTGTGAAGCTGATTTGATGCAATCTATATTGTGAAAAGAACTATATAAATATACTTGACAGCACTACTTGTTTAACAAGTAGTTTTTGTCTTTTTGAACTTCTGTATTGCTGTTCCAGAGTCTTGTTCTTGAGCCTATGTCTGAATTTGAGAAGTTTTGAGTTTATTTAAAGTGTGCTGCACATGGCTCCTCCTGCTTCCAACTATGATTCAACCACATCATTACTATATGAGAACTGAACTGAGCTGAATGTTGACATGGTTTCTCCAGAGCGGCTATATATATATAAATTAACTAAATTAATAACTTTTTTACAACAAAAATGAATCACTGAAATTACTTAAACTGGACTGTGACACTATTTTCTTCTGGAGAAGAAACTTTGTTGCATTATTTTCCTATTATCCCTGTAAAGCTGCTTTGAAACAATCTTTATTGTAAAAAGGGCTATATAAATAAAGGAGATTTGGCTTACTGAGCACAGATTCTTTCCATACAATGTTCAGATATTTGAATGAAGATAATCCTACTGCAAACATGGAAATCAGTATCAATGTCTCCTAAATAAAACATTTTGCATTCCGAGAGACTTTGCATGAATTTAATATGTAAAAATGTATGTAAGGAATATAAGTCAACATGTAGAGAGTGGAAAAACTGAATATAGTTGAAAGACGTGCATAGAGGTTTAAAGTACGCGTTTAGTTGACTTTTTGATATCAATTCTGTCTGCTATTTCCGTAAATACTTTAGATCGATCACCAATGGAGGGAATCTTTCTTTTGTTTTTTTTGCTTTCAGGTGAGTGTGTATTTTTTATTGTTATTTACACACACACACACACACACACACACACATAATTATGTGTGTGATATATATATAAGAATTAAGAGAAAAGAAAATTTATCTCTTAAAACAGTCATCAAAGTCCAGTTCCAATATCCCAAAGATGATGAATGTAAACAAATGATTATCATATTTCGAGGATCTTGGCATCAAAAACCCCTGAGCAATAAGGTTGTTACATGTTAACCTGATACTAGAATCATTAGCTCCTCTAAAACTATCTCCTTAACTGGTTTAGGGTTTACATGTGTATTTCTGCACACTGTTAAATTCTTCATGTTCCTCTCGACAGGATTCTGTCTGTATACTGGGGGCACATTACATGGTTATGTTCTCATCCAGGAACAGAAGACTTGGGATGAAGCACGGGCTTATTGCAGAAAGAATCACTTTGACCTGGCCACTGTTCAGAGTAATGAAGACTCAGCAAATCTACGAAAAGCAGTTTATAATATGACTAAAATGACCTGGATTGGACTTTACAATGACATTAATAGCTGGCGGTGGTCTTATCACGATGAAAAAATAACATTTCAGAAGTGGCTCACTGTAGAACCAAACAACTATGACGGACTTGAGGAATGTGGCGTGATTACAAACGCATGGAATGATTGGGCTTGCGCTGCACTATTTCCCTTTTTTTGCTACAATGGTAAGAAATTATAGAAACTCATTGTAAGAGCCAGGTATGTTTTTATTTTGTTTAACACATTTTTTGTTAACCGCTGTAGAACGCATTTCTAATGCTGTTTAATGCCTTTTACCATGACTTTTGGACACCATTTTGTATGCCAGTGAAACAATTATGGAATATATTGGATACAAAACCTTGTTTTTTTTTTCTCTCATGCAAATAAATTCACAAAACGCAGTCTTTGGATTCATGATCGGCCGACACATTTTTTGACTTTCAGATTGTCGCCCAAAATCATGTTTATAATGTGGATATTCTGAGCAAATGGTGTAATAATCAGCTTATTATTTATGCCTATAAGAAATAATACTTAAATAATTTGTAATCTCTGACGACTCTGAATAACAACAGAGAGTGATCTGTTGTCCATTGCACAAAGTAAAAGAAAAGTTGCCTTGTAATTTGGTAATTAACATAAATCTTGTTTGGTAACGCTGTAGATTACAGCCCAGAAAGTACTGCGTAAGTAAAACAAATTTGCAGCGTACCTTTCAGTAATTGTAGTGTACCTGTAAAGTATGTACGTGTAGGTATAATGGAACTATATGCAATGTTTGGGGAATTAAAGGGTTAGTTCACCCAAAAATGAAAATTCTGTCAGTATGTACTCACCCTCATGTTGTTTCAACCCCGTAAGACCTTCGTTCATCTTCGGAACACAAATTAAGATATTTAAGATATTACGATCGCTCCTGCATACAGTCCATAGGCTTCTTGAGGTACTGGCTCTTGCTGTCCCCGAAAAGTCATTAAAGACATCGTTAAAATAGTCCAAGTGACTACAGGGGCTCAATCTTAAGTTTATCAAACGACGAGAACACTTTTGTGCGCAAAAAAACAAAAATAACGACTTTATTTCAACTATTCACTTCCTTCTCCATGAGCCTGTAAGTCAGTTAACGTAGTGTGATTGCGTAGAGCTACGTCACACGTAGGCTCACTATTGGCCGACGCTGGTCATGTGTGTGTGATGCGTGTGACGTACAATAACAGAATCTTACGCTATTAAACTAGTAACCTGACTCGCGCAGAGGGAGAAATAAACGAATAGTTGAAATAAAGTCGTTATTTTTGTTGTTTTTTTGCGCACAAAAGTGTTCTCGTCGTTTGATAAACTTAAGATTGAGCCCCTGTAGTCACTTGGACTATTTTAACGATGTCTTTAATGACTTTTCGAGGACAGCAAGAGCCAGTCCCTCAAGAAGCCTATGGACTGTATGCAGGAGCGATCTTAATATCTTAAATATCTTAATTTGTGTTCCGAAGATGAACGAAGGTCTTACGGGGTTGGAACAACATGAGGGTGAGTAAATACTGACAGAATTTTCATTTTTGGGTGAACTAACCCTTTAAGGAGTAACAACTAGGTAAATTAACTAATTATTTATACTGTAAGAATTTTAGAACTAAGGGCCCTATCATACACCCGAAGCAATGCAAGTGACTCTTGCTAGTTTTAGCCAGACGCAGTTATCATTTTCATGTCATGCACCACGTTGTTTAAATAGCAAATACATTAGCGCCCATTTGTGCACCCATAAAAATTTTGTTCCCCTACAGCCTTTGTATTTTACAGTTACACTATAATTACTGAAAGGTATGCTGTAAATTCATTTAACTTCCGCAGTACAGTACACACACACACACACAAAACATTTTTTAACTATTGTATAATCCCTCACTTGTTTTGAATTCTTTTTTATTTTGGTTTGTTCGATGGGAATTCTCGTAAGGTATTCATGGACTACTTATAAAACGTGTGACTGCAGCATTAAAATGAACCTGTAATTTGATTTGAATTTCATTTAATTTAAAATTACATGTAATTTAACCTATTTTTGTTACAGAGAACGGAACAAACAGGTTTGTTTTCATCAATTTAGCCAGAACCTGGAAGGAGGCTCAGATCTACTGCAGACGGTATTACACAGACCTGGTCATCATTCGGAATCAAACTGAGAATAACCAGCTGACTGTGATGATGCAAGGATATGTAGGTGCTTGGATTGGTCTGTTCAGAGACGGATGGAAATGGTCAGATGGAACAAATGTCTCCACCTCCTTTATTACCTGGCGGAAAGGACAGCCTGACATGGTTGGGCTACGAAGACCTTGTGGTGTTTCAGATCCTTCTGGTCTGATCAGTGATCAGCTCTGCTCAGATGTCCTTCCTTTCCTCTGTATGTTCCGCCGTAAGTTTCATGTCTAATCTTTACCCATACATTAAGAGTAAGAACATTAGAAATGCACCTGGTCTGAAAGTGTTGTTAGTACTGTACTGTATATGTGAAAGCCCTTTTGCCATCACGCTTCTTATGGTCAGTCAGTCGCTTGTAACACCTAAATAACATTACTTTCATGTATTCCAGTTCCTAATTTTCTCACCAAACTGCATAACAATGTTAAGAAGAGCCGAGTGCAAGGTTTATCAAAAGAACAAAGATAAGATTTACATCTGCATAATATACAATAATTGGGGCTGCCAAGTTAATTAATTAATTTGATATTTTATGCTATTGTTTTATAAAAGGAAAAGCAGAATTGTTTCTGATTGGACTGGTCAATTTTTGACTGCTCAAAAGTTATTGGTTTGGTTTTAAAAAGTCAAACCTAATCAAATTTGGTTATTAAATTCATGGTGGACAATAATAAATAATCCTTGTAATTTTTTAAACAGACACAAAACAACAGATTGTGAGAGTGAAGGTGAAATCTAGTCAGAATCTAAATAACCCTGAGATGATGGAGGTCATCTTAGAGTCGGTGAGTTTAAACTATTTGTCTTAAAACTATACCTACAGTTGGTACATTACACAAATACAGTACACTTTGATGTCACATGATTTAAAAAAATATATCACAAATTTATTCAACAAAAAAAAAAAAATGTCGATCCCCACTGACAATTTTTAATAATAGATCAAAAAAGGCACTTTTTTGGAGAACACTATTAGATGTGTTTGATAAACTATTATCCAGCATAAAATTAATCTTCCAGCATAAAATTAACCTAGTATAAAAAGTTTAAACATCAAATGTCTGTATCTCCTCTTATAAATGTGTCGATGAATGGTGACATATCATTAATTACTTGACTGTGTCCAACAATTCGAGAATCTCAAGTATTATTTCATTGACGTTCATAATTTGGGGTCAATGCTGTTATTGCTTGGGTCCCCCCTCCCCCATCCCCCATAAAATATCACTCTATTGGAGCCTTTCTACAACATGACTAATATACAATCTCATTTAAATTTCTCAATTTTTAAACAAAATTGTAGTGTTATCGACAGAGCCCCACATGCGGACAGAAGTTGTTTATCCGTTCTTGTCCAGCTCAACCGTTACTCAAATTACTGTAAGAAAAAACGATCACAAAAATATCCGTTTTTCATTCATTTGTGAGGAAAGCAGTGGTACCCAACCTCTAACCAAAGCAAAAATGTAAGTTTAGCACTACAAACCAATATTAAGTCCCAAATTAACTAACCTTACTGAGGAACAGCTTCATATAGAGCTCCTATAGGCTAAAGGCCATTGCACACTGAGTCCGAAATTTTCGTATATGTGTTTTTACGTATTTGTGATTCGTGGCTCTGAATTGTCAAAACACCATTCAAACACCATTCAAATTGTCTATTTACATGTGTATTATAAAAATAAAATAATAAAATAATCACACAAATCAGGGTTTTAAACTGAATTTAAATGTGTTCCATTTTAGTAACAGTTGCAATCAAAATGTCCCGAGGCTCACATTCAACATACTTTTGGTAAAGCACCAACACTCACTAAAAATTTGTTGGAAAAGAAAAATAATATGTAAATGTTTACGGCTTTATTATGAGAAATATGACAGATACTCTTAACACATGCTGAGAGAGTGTGCATATCAGTAGTACTTGGGAATAACAGGATTGCATCTATTCCTTAGGTAAAACAGAAGCTGAAGGAACAGGGGGTAGAAATGGACACAGCGGTGGCGTGGAACGTTCAACCAGATGGAAATGTTTTTCACAAGATTGAAAACCAACCATGAGTTTTTGAAGTATCTACAGTACAATGTTTTAGTACATAAAAATGTAATTCTGTTCTGGTTGTGAAATGTAAATTTGATAGTACATGTAAATGTCTAAGTACATATTTTATATAGACTAGTCAACATTTGAAGTGTATCAAAAATGTTAATCAAGACAGGAACGGGTATTGTTCATGTATAACTTCACTTCACAAAAACTCAAACTCAAAAATATTTTTCTAAGTTCTAGTCAAAATATCTTGTCACATTTAATAAAAGACAAAATCACCTAGAGCAAGATTTTTAAGTGAGATAAAGGAGCTTGTTTTAGATGTGCATCTTGAATATCTTGGTAAGTGAAACTGTCTTGAAAACATCTTGTTTTGAGTCATATTTACACAAGCTTTTTGACATGTCATAAGGTTTTTTGCTGCTATGTTATTAATAACATCGAATTGAGACATTGAATCGGACTTGAATTGAGACAACAAATCTGCTTTATTGAAAACTGCAGGTCATGCAATTCACCATGCACAGTACAGTGTGGCTATTTTTCTTACATTTCCATCAAACCATGTCCACGTGATATGTAAAATATAGGCAAAAGTGATAGGCAAAAGCTGGAATTATGTTTCCTTCTCTGTTCTGCTGCACTGTGGACATACTGCACCACATTATTCAAAAAAACAAAACAAAACAAAAAACAAAAAAAAGAAAAAATTTAAAATAAATGCTGTTATCAATTACAGTGTTTGTCAGTTTTTAAAAAATATGAATCACTCCCAAATACCCACACTCAATACAGACTCAAGAATGACGTTTGATGATGTCTGTGAGATCATACTTCAGTGGAATGTACTTGCTATTATTGAAGTTTACAAAGTAGTATGGTGTATAATCAACAAGCTTTTCAGCATCCATTAAAATATTGGCTTGAGTTAGGTCTGAAACTTCTTCCTCATAAGCTAAATAATTATCATTCCACCCAACTGTAGAGAGAGGTTGGCATTCAAAACAATATACTGACTGACACATTTAAAATATAAATGTTTGTCACAAGTACAAACTCTGGAGTATCATTGATAACATTACAAATAACCAAAGATTTTACACATGTATGCTTCTTTCCATGTTGCATAATCCACTGTACTGAAACTATATGTTCAACGTGCTCTAATTCCTAAGAAGTCTACAATCCTTCCTTCTACATAATGAACATTTTTCACCTCCTAGGCTGGGCCCGTCAGCTTCACTTGAACAAATTGGATCTTTCTGATGCACATTCTGACTACATTCATAAAGCTTGTTGCGCTTCACAAGAGACTTACAGATATTTTTAAAACTACTTTTCAAAGCCCACTGCTTAAAAAAGCAGTGCTTTGACTCAAAGCTCATACACACTGTAAAACCTAACAGTAATATTTACTATATTAGATTGAGTTAACTGCACTCAAATAATACTGAACAGTGTTTCCTCTAGGATTTTTCCAAGCTGTGGGGGCAGGCCCATTTCCCCGGTGGGGGGGGGGGGGGCCTTGTCTCCCCAAAGTATTATAATCGATCATGCGCATCCCGTGTGCAGAATGATGCACTTGAAGCAACACCAAGTCACAGCAAGCAATGCTTCACATTGAAAAGAACATAGCGAAGGGATTATATCTATAATATGCTTAGTAGGGCTGGACGATTTGGGGAAAAAGTCATATTGCCATTGCAATTACTGAGGTCAATATTGCAATTGTGATATGCGATTCCGATATAATAAAATGGTTTCATGAGTCCAACTTGCTTGGTTCTAAAGTAAAATGCACACACAGATTAGTGATCATTCTGTGTATTAATGTTTATTTCTCAACTCAAACTACAGACAACAACTAAATGATTGACAACACCTATAATGATCAATAAACCATCAACCAAACCATCATTACAGTGAAAGCTATCAACTTTTTAAAAAAAATTATTAGGCTAAAAAAAAAAATTAACAACTTTTAAATTAAGTGAACTTCAAACAATCCCCACATAAACCCATAATAAAAACCATATTTACCTGTGCCCTTCCTGTCTTAACAGGTAGGATACAGAAATTGAATAAAGTTATCAAACAGTCTGTGCTGCATGAATTATAAATTATATATAGAATAATCCTTATTAAAGCTACAAAAGTTCTTTAGTCAAGATCAGTGAGTAATTTTCTAATTTCCCTTTGTTCTTTTAACTTTACTGAAAGAACGCTTTATTCGCTGCTAGCGCTTTAAGAGCACCCGTTGCCGAGACGCGGATCTCACATGCGCCTCATAGCACAACTCTTTTCGTCCTTAAGACTTTTCTTACGTTATAAAGATACTCGACAAAACAACATTTTGGCATAATTGTGTGTGTTATTGTTCGTTCAAGCTCGAAAGAGAACTGTATTCTGGCACGCGTCAGTGCATGCGCATTATGGCGCGCGTCTTTCTGCGAGTCTCATTTAGGGCATTCACAGGCAGCTTTTCAGTTCTTGTCGTGCAAAATGCGAAATGGCATTTGCACGAATAAGAGCAGGATCGTGTAACACTAGTCAAAGGATGACAAAAAAGAAGAGATGCTGCGTTAATAGCCCTAATTTGTTTATTTCATATAAAATCGCGTCATTTTGCGTTATATAATTGCATAATGCATAGGTTTGAGATCGCTATTACGATTGCGATATGATTAATCGTGCAGCACTAATGCTTAGTGTATTCTATAGTTTTTTTGAGCCTTTTCTTTTAACAGTTTTAAATTTCAGTGCGCATGAAGAACAATAGCACTCTCTCGACTCCATGCTGTAATCTTACTTAAAGGGATTGTGAAAGGTATGGGCAATAAACTCCACTCCAGCAAGATAAAGTCATTTTATGAAAACCATCTACTTTATGCTTTATCTACAAATGAAGTAATAATGGGAATATTGACCTTGAAGAGAGTGTCGTCGTGTCGCAAACGAACGCGACGCGCTGTGTGAATTCTGAATGGAGAATGACTGAGGCCGCCTGAGGCGAGATGACTTTCCGTTAACTTTAACTTAGCGACTAAAATTACACATTATGCAATGACTTTAGACGTCTTGGAATATAGGGTGAAAACTTGATTGTGCTTTACAAAGTTTTTTATGCCTTTAGTGGGGCTTAACAAAATAACATAATACTATGCAGAATATCGGACGTCACTGAGAAGCTGTAGCCGTGGCGGGAGGATTTTAAGTGTGGCGGCCCGCCACGGGAGAATGAATGTAGAGGAAACACTGCTGAAATTGAAGTGGCTTGAATGACTGAAACAGAACTCAAACTGAATGAGTTATAAAACATTTCTAGATCCCAGAATGAAAAATGAATAATAATTGCATAGTTAAGTTAATTAATCATCAATTAAGTGATGATTGCTCATTAGTGATGAACACCTGCTGTTAATAACCAGAATCACTGAAGGAAAGAGAAATACAAGGTTTAAGGTCACCATGATTGAGATCAGACTTGACCCTTGATGTTTCAGTACTAGTTTTTCTGTGGCTGCTGTGTTTATGAAACATGGCACAAAAGTCAAGGAAAAGTATGATTGGGTTGATGGTCAAGGTTTGATAATGACATTCATCACTTAATGACTTGATTCACTGATCACATTTGGAGTCTAATCTCTGAATATGTTATTGTCACAGTCTCGTCTGCCCCGTTCTGTCTGCGTCTCCAGCACTACACTTCCCATGATCCTCTCGTCTGCACACCTGAACTCACTCCCTCATCAGCCTCCCGTTCGGCGTCTTGTTTCATCTGTTTCACCTGTTTTCACTCCATTATGTTTGATTCCTCTGTGTATTTAGTTCGCTCTGTTTGAGTTAGTCCTTGTCGGTCAATGTCTAATGTTAGCCTGTGTTGCGCCCGTATTCCTGTCTTCTCGCCTGTATTTTGTATTAAATGTAATTTTCGTTGCTAATTTGGACTCCTCTGGTTCCTCTGCCTGCACCACACCCTGACAATTATTAGTTGTATTTGAAAATAGATTCTACAACATAGGAACTAGCAGTGTTATGACTTTCAGATAGTATAAAGGATTTTACAGAAAATATCATTTATTACCAAAACTAACACAGATATCAAGATTCAGCATTTGAATCTCAACAATGGAAACCATTAAAAAAACTATTCATACTGCAAATGCATTGCAGCATGAATCGTTTTTTTAACGGTCATGTAACAGTTAAAACGTGGTCCATGTAATTGATTACAATTAATTTGTGGTTAATTGCAGAGAAACACATGTATGCATACAGGTGAAATTGACAAAGCCTCCCTAAATGGGAGATTTATTAACATAAGACTGGTCTGATCCAAATCTGTATGAATAATTATTAATTATCAATTATTAATTATGATATGCAAATTCCCCCTTGATCAGACCGCTTTGTGTCTTTACAAAAGAGTTAAGCGAGCAATAACAGGTGAAAACAGAATTTTGACTATCTCTAACAACTTAAGTAGTATTTGTTTGTAAACGTTTTCTCCAATTTTGTCAATGAGAAATGGCAGGATCTTTAACAAAACCAGCATCTTGCCCAGCTGACTGTTTCAATTGATTGTCATTTGATGACAGTGTATTAACAGATATTGGGCAAGGCGTATCCCTTGCATCCACAGGAGAATAAGGGAAGCAAATAATTGCCATATAAACAAAGTCCATATGCCCTGGAAGCACAAGATGCTTTAAAACACATTTGATTTCAAATGGGGCAACACCTTTAAGAATGACATGCATGATGTCCTGTGGGGTTTGAATGATTATATCAAAGTGAGAAAATTCTGTTATTGCTTCTCCTTTTTATAGACTTGTAGTCAAGACCGCCTAAACCGAGACCAAGACACTACCAAGACCGGAGGGTTTTGAGACCAAGACCAAGATAGAAACCAAGTCGAGACCAAGACAGAGACCAAAAAACAGACTAGTGTTGTTGAAGCTAAGCAATAAGTTGTAAGATTTTGTTTTGTATTGCCTGTCTATCTCTGCCGATTTCGAAGTCTCCAAATGAATCCATTCTGCAACTTTTAAATACATAAATATTTTTAAAAACAAAATTATAAGCTTTAGTGCAGGATCCGAAAGTTGGTTGTTTTGTCGCTATGGTTACACACACACACACACCGTTGGCGGTGCTCTCAAAGTCATCTGTCAGTTGAACAGTTACCCAAAATCTCCTGAATAAAGTTAAAACTCATCATATCACTGATATG